GCGAACGTGATGGATGAGGTTGCATTGCCGGGATCATTGCCTGTGTTGTTACATCGAAGAAAGATCTGCGTTGGAGTGGAAACTCTCGTTGCTTGTTTTCCTCGATCACGTCGGGGTCACCAATTAGTTGCGGCTGCGTTTGATGATGAACCAGAAGAGCAGTAAGCGGGAGAAGAAAAGAATAGTATTCGTTTGGATAGGCTGGACACGAGTTCCGTCCCTACCGGGGACTCATCAGCAGCCCGAATACCTGTCAGAATAGTTATTGCAGTTTCTTATAAAGCCCGCACAAATCACCTCCTTAGTTTGTGGTGTTTTATTTATTAGTCTTTTTAGTCGCTAGGATTTTCAATCCAACAACATCTTCGATCGAATTAGCTGAGTCATTATGATGAATATTTTGTTCTAAAAATTTTTTCTTGAAATCATCAATTTCATGGGCCACATTTTGTGTTTTTTTGTTTTCTTTTAACAGCCTAAAAAAGAATTACTTTTTTGATGTAAAAAATCGGCCCTTATTGTAAATCTTCTGAGTCTTTGAGATTTTTCTTTTATTTTTATAATAATTTCATTTCAACTGCTTCAGTATTTTTCAAATTTTTTTGTTATTAATTGTTATTTTTCAATATTATTTTTAATTCTTGTAGCATTATTTCCATTTCTGAATTCTTCGAATAATGATTACTCATTTATTGATATTCGAATCTTAGATCGTATTCTATTCATCCATTTTGTATTTCTCATCATTTACCATTTTCATTTCTACTTTTAAATTAAATTGTGGTTACATACATAATATCATTCAATTTACTTAGATCAAATGCATCTGTGAGATAATCATCTTTAGTGCTTTATTTGTACTTGAAATTTTATGATTTTGATTGTTAAAATTTTGTATTTTTTCAAATTTTTTTTATCTCTCATCTCAATGTTTCCCAACTGTTTCAATTTTCCTAAGATATTTAATTTCATTGTTTTAACTTCACCTCAAGTCAATTCACGTGGATGTCATTTCATGTTATCCAACATTCAAAAAAGGTAAAAAAAGACGATAAACCTGATGATTTTCAATTGCCAACCTCCTTTTGACTCTACATCAATGCTAGATCCTTTGATGTGGTTTACCAACGAGAATACCTGGCCAGAGTATGACTGGTCTTTCAACGACGACAGTGGTGGTGTTAAGAATTGCTAATTGAATGGACATTATCAAATTTCAAGAATATTCGTGCATTCGATTGAACATTGTCCATTTAGTTGAAAAACATTTTTTCTATTTTTTATTCTTTGAACCTGTATTCTATAGAGTACTAACTTAGTTAATGACATCAAGTTTTTTCAGTGTCCTTTCATGAAATTTTTTTTAAATTTTTCATGAATAAACCATTTAAAAAAATTTCGCGATGCACAATTATACAAACCATTAGTTGTGGTCTCAAGGAAGAAAATATTCACCATGGTGACATCTCTCAACGAGATCACCTGTTGTCTGATAATAACTGTAATGTAAGACGCTTCTCCATATTACCCAAAATCCACAAGGGTAGATCCAAATGACGTAGCGAAAAAAGTGCACCGGGTAGACCAATAGTGTCCGATATCAACATTCAACAGTGCTAAGATTGCCAAATTTATTGACGTCTACCTGAAAAAATTTGAACTAAATTTAAAATCTAGTGTACAAAAATTCATTTAATTTTGCTACCAGTATTAATTACTTACAGGTAGAAGAAGATGACCGACTCATCTCTGGCAGTGGGAAAAGCGAATATCGATTTGAAACGCATGGTTGCAGTTTTGAGGCACAACCTGTGCAAACACAAACATCATGGAAGACCTAAGCAAAACAATGTTAGCAATGTTCTTTATGTTGCATGGAATGGTATTGTCCCACAGCTTAGGTCCAGCAAACAACAAACTTGACTGAAACATAAAGGAATTCTGTGGATGGATGTAAAATGTCTTTGAATGACGTGTCGTTCTGACGTTCAAGTCACATGTTAAGCTTAGGCAATTTTTAACATGTGCTGGTAGTTTGTTGCAAAGAAATTTGAAAACAAAAATAGAGGCATAATATGCGAAGAGTTATCTTATTGTCAAAATATAACATGATCTCTGTATTTGAGTTTATAAAATATTCTAACAAATCTTTTTTTGAATTTTGAACAAACGACTGATCAAGTAAGTTGGAAAGTTTCCCCATATAATGTTACAGTATGATAAGTACAAGTAAACAAAGCTGTAATTCAAGGTTATCATTAAGTTGCTCTTTTATTTGGCTTGAAGTATGCCTATGATGCTGACAAATTTATTAATCTCATTGATAATAGAGTAAATGTGTTCTGACCAGGATAGATTACTTTGAAGGTACACTCCTAAAAATTTAGTTGAATCTCTTTCGATGTACGTAGGTTTTTGCTTGATTAGTCAAATTTATATAGATGTTGACCGTATTCTTGTCCTATCTATTGGTTGATAATAAAATAAGTAAAGTCAAAAGCGCCACCCGTAACTGGTTTACATAGAAAAATATTGAAAACCTTTAAATTTGACGCCTGGAAACGAAAAACGCTTTGGTATCCTGATTCAATTATAAATTTAAGAAGATCTTCTGATGTTAAAATTTTTTTTCCCGTGTAGATACTAGCATTCTGCAACCAGAATAATATACAGTTTTACAATTCATTCTCTAGTGCATAGGACCTATTTTTAATGTTTTCGTCAATATTACTTTGTATCCACTGGTTTTCATAATCACATAAATTTTGAGACAACTGAGTGACTAAATTTTTCTTGGCTATTAATTAACTCACAAGAAAGATGGAGCAAATTATGTATATTATTCTAACGTTGATAAAATAAATAATGACGACAAGAATTTGGTTCAAAATATTGAGAAATGTAATAAAAAAAACCGTCTATAATTACTGCAGCAATTTATGAAATCTACAGAATTTCTAGCGTTGGATAGTTTTTTATTATATACACATATATATATATATAATTAACAAAGTTAATAATAATGATAAATGCAAATCACAGGAACAAAGCCCTGGGATATACAAATTCTCTAGATAAACTGCAACAAGTGCTGGAAATGATTGAAAAATCGAAATAAGTCCTAATACACTCGAGAATGAATTGGAAAACTGTATATTATTCTAACGTTAATAAAATAAATAATGACGACAAGAATTTGGTTAGAAATATTGAGAAATGTAATAAAAAAACTATCAAACGCTAGAAAGTTTGTAGATTTCATAAATTACTATTTATATATATATATATATACATAAATACATATATATAAATAAATATATATATATATATATAATATTCTATAAATTCTACCAAGGGACATGGGAGGCAAAATTCGGGACGGTTGGCAACTATGTCATTTTTTATACCGATTTTTCATTTTTTTCGTCAGGCAACTTTTTACATACATCTTTATTTTCTGTTGAAAGATCATTTATTAAATAGTTTAGATGTGCTCAGTTTAAAGCAAATTTTCATTACCAAATTCTTGATATATAATGAAATTCGGCTTAATTAGTTCATCTAAAACATTGAACGTTGAAAAACCTTTTATCTACTTTTATAATTATCAATTTCGCTACAAAAATTGATTTTAAGTAAATTATCAAATTTTAGAACCGTATACACACATTTGTTTCTGTTATCATTATTATAAACATCATCGATCTGCAGTTTATCTGCTCTTATACTTACTGATTTTGCTACACAAATTACTTTTAAACTAAATTATTGAATCTTAAAACCGTAAACCACAAACACACACACATATTTGTTGTTATTATTATTATCATCATTATCATCATAGATAAAACAACATCACATTATTTTTTTGAGAATCTAACCTCACTAGACAATTTTGGCAAAAATAAATAGATAAAATAAAATTTTTGCAGGCCACAGTTCCAAAACTTCACAAGCTAGTCTCTTTAAAAACAAAAATTCTCAAAACTAATTTAAGCTCCGCTACAAACCTTATTTCTTATAATTATACAGCTAAAAAATTATAAGAAAAACTTCTTTGAGTTATGGTCCTGGTCAGATGCCTGGTTTTTTTAGTTTTTTTTAGAGAAATCTACACTTTGCAATTATTTACAATTAATCACATTTATTTATTTTTAGGGTCAAGAAAATCAAATATTGGAAATATGCATGGAAAATGAAAACAAAAAGATAACTTTGCCTAACTATTTTTAACTTTCCGGTCTGCTGATATTTTTTTTCATGTAATTCAATTTCTAACTGACATCACTAACAACAAAAATGACATTTGTGCATCACCCTATGCGTAGCGTGAGAGGTGCCATATAAGGCAGTCCACACCACTTGACGCACATACCCATTATGTATGCACGCGCAAGCACCGCATCATACGGGTATGATGATCTTTGAGTTTTTAACAAACAGTATTCGAACCATGCCTTCGCGTAATATAAGCGCAAGACATTGCACTCCTACCGACTGAGCTAACCCGGTCATTTTTGAAAAACTGGACATCGTGGCAAAAATTAATGCAAAACGCTATGAAATTTCTCCTATTATACCGGCATCAAAATAACTAGCCAATATGAAATATTTGCTTTGTAATCAGTTTGACGTAATTTTGAAAATAGAAATAATTAAAAATCAAAAAAGTGAAAAGTAAAAAAATCTCAATTTAATTTTTGGCACCGATTTTAGTCCACGTGTCGTTAGAGTATATAAAAATTAATAAACAGCTATGGCAGTATAGCATGGACAGGTTTTTGGCAAAATAGTTTTATTTCCAATAATATAATGCATGTATCGAAAAGTATGTTGTCAAAAATAGTGTGGTAGCAAAAGAGTATTTATAACTAGAATAACAAATAATAAAGCTAAACAGAAAATCATCTCAATTTGATTTTTGACATCGCTCTCGATCCAGATGTCGCTTCTTGCTGTCTGCCCGTGTAAACTTCATTCCACAAACTTCACATTCAAACTGGCTTCCCTTGTGCAAAGCCTTGTGTCTGTAATATGAACTTCTGTGACTGTACACTTTGCTGCATGTACTGCAGGCGTATATTTTATTTGTGTATCGGCATGATGCTGAATCCAAATTTACAATATTTTTGCATTCAACGTTGGTTCTCTCTGTCTTGCTGGAGTTTACCTCTTCGTGTGGAATCATTTGAGCACCTTGCAGTTCGTATATCAGAGTTGCATCAGCATCATACGAGGAGGAAGCGGCGGTCGATGTGTTTGGATTTGCTGTGAGGGATGTTGAAGCAGCTGGTTCGATTTCATGGCGGGAATTCACTGTAAGATAACCGCTTAAAACTCTGTATTGCACTTTTTTGGTTTCGCTTGTTTTCTGCAACAATTTTTCTATTGTGAAAGACATTTCGGCAGCGCTTTCTTTAATGCAGTTGTCACTTTTTAACTTTATGCTTTATGAAAATTAATTAATTTTAGAGAAATGCTAAAAAATTTTATAAACGGTTATATTATTGAAGTAATATTAAAAATAATATTAGTTTGGAAGCATAAAATGATAAAATACTACAAGTTAATACATTTAAATTATCGGTTTCGAAATTTTTTGATTCTAGTTATGTATGAGGCCGAACCGCTTTTTATAGAATTCAAAAAACAACTTTAATAAAGTTTTTAATTGATCTTAACTATTTGATCAATGAACTTTGCATTTTCTTTTGATGTTCACTTCTGCGCCAAAAACCGTTTGAACTCAACCGCTTGCCAATCTAATTAAAGATCAAAGAAAGGATCTAATCGGGTAGCCACAAAAGGAACATGTTATGTTATCAATAACTGATAACTAATTAATAGTCATTTGTTGCTTTCGAGGGTTTTTACTTATAGCTGTTCATATTATAACATGATAGACATTCGTAATAAGAAACATCATTATTGGATGTTATGTTGTGTTCATATGCTCAAACTTTAGCAATCGCTACCTTTTTAAGCCCTCTTAAAAATTTTGAATAATTCTAAAGAGCGTGTTGTTTTGCACGTATATTAAGTTTCATTCAAAATTTCAGTTTTCAATGACATGCATGTTCATTTTGTTTTAACGGCCAATTAAAATTTCATGTTTTGTATTTTAATTTGGTGCCCAGCTCATTTTTGCTTTACTATGTGCGTTTATTCACGCTGCTTGAAAACGAGTCAGATGAATAAAATTTTAAAAGCTCTCCGGTTAGATGATTTGATATTTCAACGTAAGACAAAAAAATGTTGGAAATTAATTTATGAGCAATTAAACAATCATCAGAATTCAACGCTTCAATTAAAAATGTTTAAAACTTTTGCAGAGAAAATAATGACAGCAAATAAATTTGTTATAGAACCTGTGTTTAATTTAGTTAATAAAAAGTGGTGTCCTCGGAAAGTTAGTAATCCGACAGCGATGAACGGACGTTTGTAGCAAAGATTTTAATATGCAAAGAGCAAAATTTTATTCAATGTCATATACGGAAATCGTTTGGTTAATGAGAAAACACCTTCATTAATGGTAATCCACAAGTATGAATGTCATATTTAAGCTTTTTGTCATCAGAATCATTCGAACTCATCATTCACAATAGCCGTAAAAAAATAACATTACCTACACCCGTCAATCACTCTAACAAATTAATTAAAAATATTAGGCATCACATTCATCTCCACACTTAACATAGCACCTCATATCAATCACATCATCACAAAAAGCTTTCAAACATTTCACGCACTAAAAACACCCCGCTCACATGGTCTCAAAGGCATCAAATTATTCGACATCACTGAATCACTCTTAATCTCACGCATAAAATATGCAGTTCTTCCTGGTCTGGTTTTGCTACACAACAACAACTTCAGCAACCACAATCTTTCATCAAAAAACTAATCCGCTTCAATTTATCTACCTGCATCATATTCTACCGTCACTCAGATATTCAACCCACTCGATTCAAGGCTATTCAAGAAAGTAGAAAATAACAACAACCACGTCATCCATCCTCTACTACCATCAATCAAAACTACTACACACAACCTTCGTCAGCGCAAACATAAATATCAAGTCGTCACCCAATCTACATATCTACATTTTTAAAGAATAACAAAAATATATATTTTGGATGCTCTAGTACAGATAGAATGATAATTAAACAAACTTTAAAACCATCATGTCCGGCAAATTCAAAGTATGCAAAAACTAATATTGAAAATTAGCAAGTATGCTAAGTATATTCCACGTGCTGGTTATTCCTTAAATCGTGTTGGCAGAGCAGCAGTTGACTGTTATTTAGATGCAGTTAATTTTTTTGGAATTGTTCAAGAAATATATAACTTTTTTCTTCCTCTACCCATAGATGGAAACTAGATTGTTGTCGTCGTTTTTCAAAGATAATTCAAAGTCTGTCAAAGACTAGATGGGAAGCAAATTCATTGGCCACAAGTGCCATACTGGATAGTTATGATGAAATAATTTGTTTATTACATCAACTTCATATTGATATTTCAGAAAATGTCGATACAAGAAATTAGACTATAAACATTTTGATGCAATGGGATCAAATCATACACAAAGAGCTACTTGTAGGTACAATGACGATGTTGCTGAAACTTTTTCATTTTTAACAAAATTGAATCCTTACAGAAGAAAAAATTCATAAAGGATTTACTGCTTTGTGGCAGGCATATCTTAAAGATGTAAACAGGAGTCTCGTAGAAATGAGACATCTAAATGAATACGTGAAACAAAGTCAAGTTTGTGGTGAAAGTAACAGTTTGACACATCAGGATTTGCATACAATAATATTCAACTGTTCATCTTCAATCAGCATTTTCTTATATGGAATCAATTTTAAGATTATTTCTCAAGATAATGGTTACAAATTGCTCTGGAGAAAGATCTTTTTCTTAATTGAAAAAAAAATAAAAAAGATTTCCGAACAACAATGACGCAAGATAAATTTGATCACTGAGTATTATGTATATAGAAAGTGACAAATTACGAAATATACCATTTGAAGAAGTCATCGGTGATTGTGCTCACGCAAAAGCGAGAAAGAAAATATTTAAGTTATTTTTGTTGTTCACAATCACTCAGTTGATCAATCTAACATTTTTCAAAAAAAGTAATTAGTGAACGTTATATAATTCGATTCCGACAATGTTTTTATTTTTCAGAATCGACGATTTAATGTTTTTTTCTTTCTAAAATAGAAAAAATTAAAAAAGTGTTCTTTCTTAAATGCATTCATATTAACTGTATTCATCTAAATACCCTATTTTTAGCAAAAAAATAATATACAACTGAAAACTAGCCCCAAATCCTAAATAGCTTAGAGCCACGTTAAGTCTAAATCCGACTCTTGTGTGTGTGTGTGTGTGTGTGATTGTGTGATGGTTTCAGAAACTTGAAATCGGTCTTTTTATAACTTCCCTTTGTCCAATTATGCTGAAATTTTATGTACTTTCTAATTCCCGATGATAGTGCATGGTAGCAGCATGAATTATTTAAAACCTAATTAAATTTATTGAGTTAACTAATAAATGTATAAAACAAATTAATATATGTCTGCCGAAAAAAAAACGTAGTCATAGTTTGATTTTTTATTTTTCTTTAAAATAAGTTTTATCTATCAACAACAAATGCTGTTCTTTTCCGCAACCAACGTCTGCAAGTTCTGAGTATTTTTTTAAATCAATAGCAACTAGCGATTACAAAATAACATAAATGTTATAAATTGTTGTACATGTAAAAGCGTGATGTTTTAAAAAAATCTTTTTTTCTTTACTTACTTCGTTTTAATTGTCAATTTATCAGTTTGAATTTTGAAGAATAAAAAATTTGAAACTTTGTTTCTTTGTTTTGTATAATTAAATTTATTACTCACAAAACAGGTTTTTTTAAATTTTCTTGCTAAAAGAGGAATGAAAAAATAAATAAAATAATATTAAAATGATAATTTTAAATAATAAACTGTTAAATATAATATAAACAATATATAAAAGTAAGTGTGTATCACAGGACATAGTTATTTTTAAAACTGGATATCGTCGGAAATCTAACCAGACGTTTATAATATCAACTTTTGATAAATTAACTTCAAAATACATTAACAGCCAGTATGAAAATTTTAACACCATCCTACTGTTTTACGCAACTATAAAAATCAAGATAATAAAAACGTAAAATAGTTGAATAAAATCTCAATTTAATTATTGACAGCGATTTCGTCCACGTGTCGTTAGAGTATACAAGAATTAGTATCATTAAATGTTGAGTGATGCAGCTAGAAATAATAGCAACGATTTACTAAGACCAGATTTTGGCAAAACAAGTTTTATTTCAAATAATATAATGTGTGTATCGCAAAGTATGTTTTGGAAATAATGTGGTCATGAAACAGCGCTTAAAACTAAAACAACAAATAATGAAGCTGAACAGAAAATCTCAATTTGATTTTTGACATCGCTTTCGTTCTAGGTGTCGCTTCTTGATGTCTGCCCGGGTGAATTTCATGCCACAAACTCCACATTCAAACTGGTTTCCCTTGTGCGAGGCATTTTGTCTGTAATAAGAACTTCGGTGGTTGTACACTTTGCCGCATGTACCGCAAGCGTATATTTTGTTGGTGTACTGGCCTGATACTGAATCCGACTTTTCATTATTCCCACCTTCAACGTTGGTTCTTTCTGTTCTGCGGAGTTTTCTTCTTCGGTTCGTATTCGTATATAAGAGTTGCATCAGCATCATATGATGAGGAAGCGGTCGGTATGTTTGGTTCTGCAGTGCGGGATGTTGAGGCAGCTGGTTCAATCTCATGACGGGAATCCACTGTAAGATAACCGCTCAGAACTGTGTATTGTACCTTTTTGCTTTCGCTTGTTCTCTGCAATAACTTATCGATTGTGAAGGACCGATTGTGAAGGACATTTCGGCAAAGCTTACTTGAATGTTGTTGACACTAACTCAATTAAGTTTTTTGATTTTTAAAAGCTATATAAAACAAATTATTTTTTGCAAAAGATTAATAACTTTCTCATGAATGGTAATATTATTGAAGTAATATTAAAATTAATATTAATTTTTATAAAAAATGATAAAATATTATTACTTAGTTCATTTAAATAATCCGTGTCCAAAATTTTTTATTCTTAGATATAACTGTCTGAACAGCTTTTTAGAGAATTTATAAAAAAATTTTATTAAAAATTTTAATTGATCTTGACTATTTGACCAATGTTAATTGTTCATTTTCAAAGTGAACTGTCTTGCGCCAAAAAACCGATCAACGGTGTTGGGATTGAAAAGTAGTTTTAATGAATAAATGATGGTAGAAAGTAATTGGTTATATAGAGGTTTTGATAAATTATCGTAGTCCAAATTTGAATTTTGTATGTTGCAGATGATGGAAGCAGTAATAATGATGCAGTAAAGCAACTCTTATTGGATAATAAGTTATTGAGGAAGCTATATATTGTGATTTTTTTTCTTCTTTGTCAATTACAATAAATGGAATTTCCATCGAAGTTGAAATAATTTCTTCAAGAGTGTTAGATCCAAGAATTCCCTTACATTTTGCTCGGCCAAGTGAAATTTTATTGGCCAGATTTGAGTTATTATAAATTTTTAAATACAATTTGCTTGAGCAATCTCGACTTTTGAAACTAAAGTGATGATTGACTGTGGTATGCTAAAGTGAGTTCAGCTGCTGATACCATGATTTGTGTTTTTGAATTAGGAACCGGGGAAAAAAGTCGAACCTTATATGACAAATTTACTGCTTCAACCTTTTAAAAAGTAACTCTCTCTTTTGCGCTTGCTTCAGAGGTTTCAACGACAAACACACAGCGTATATGAATACCCGTGAAAACCACGCATCATACACATTGCATGTGATAGGCGAGGATCTCTTTGTATTCGAACCCAGTCACTGCAGCAGCAAGACCATTTGTCTTTATTCATTGTGTCATCACATTGAGTCATATGGTTATCGCAATTTATACGATTTTCCAGAGCTGTTTTCCTCTTATATCCTACATTAATTTTCAGGTTACATGCTTTCGGCTTCTTCGTCGTTTTCGACGACTTTGAACATTTTTAAATTCTGTCGCATATTTTTGTTGAAATTGCACTTCTTTTGCTTATTCATGGCTCATTTTTAAAGAACAGACTTGAAATAAAAAATATAAAATTTAAAAATAATTAATTAACAAATGAAAAATGAGAACCGCTTTTCTTTTCTTCTACAATACCAGCAAAAATATCTGCTAAGTAAAGATGGCGCTTTCAAGGAACAACAAACCATTTCAGAAAATAAGTTAAGTGCCAGAACTAAAAGTTAACTTTACCTTCACTAAGAAGAGATGTTCATTTAAAAAAAAATAATTACATACAAAAAAATCAAGACAATATTGATTACATATATAAATAAGTTATAAAAATTTGAAAAAACTAATTAAATTTTACATTTTTAAAAAAATTATGTGAAAGGAAGACTTTTAGCAAAATTTTATAAAGGTGGAAAAACAATCTTGTTGAAAAGTGGACTTGTTCTTCCAAAGGAGAAAGGTTTGTAACGAAGTTATTTCGTTGAAATATCATGACAAACGTAGACAGGTTTTTTAGCAAAAAAGTTTAATTTGAAATGCATGTATCACAAAATAGTTTATTCGCAAAACAGTGTTTAAAACTAAAAGAAAACAAATAATAAAGCTAAGCAGAAAATTTAGTTTAAATTTTGACATCGATTTCGATCCAGGTGTCGCTTTTTGCTGTCTGCCCTTGTGAACTTCATACCACAAACTTCACATTCAAACTGCCTTTTTTTGTGCGAGGCCTTGTGTCTGTAATATGAACTTCTGTGACTGTACACTTTCCCGCAGGTACTACAAGCATAAATTTTGTCGGTGTACTGGCCTGATGCTGAACTCGAATTTTCATTATTTTCTTCTTCAACGTTTGTTCTTTCTGTTTGGCTGGAGTTTTCTTCTTCCCGTGGAATCGTCTGAGACACTTGCGGTTCGTTTTTGTATCTCAAAGTTGCATCAGTAACATATGATGAAGAAGCGGTAGATATGTTTGGATCAGCTGTGCGGGATGTTAAGGCAACTGATTTGATCTCATGACGAGAATCCACTCTAAGATAACCGCTCAGAATTGCGTATTGAATTTTTTTGCTTTCGCTGGTTTTTTGCAATAATTTTTCGATTGTAAAAGACATTTTGGTAATGCTTATTGTCAATTGTTGTTGTCACTTTTTATCTCAATTGAGTTATTTGATTTTTAAAAGCTTTTCGAAAATAAATTATTTTTTAACAAATGATCGAATTTTCTCCTATGAATGTAAATATTCCTAAAATAATATTAAACATGTAAGGATACAAAACTAGTTAATTTATTGAAATTATCGGTTTCCAAAATTTTCTGAATTTAATATATATAGGCAGTGGGAACCCCTTTTAATAGAATTTATTAAACAACTTTATTAAAGTTTTTAATTGATCTTGACTATTTGACTAATGAACTTTACCTTTTTCTTTATGTTCACTTTCACAATGATCAGCCTTGCGCTAAAACCGTTTGAACTCAACCGCCAGCCAGCCAATTAGAGATCAAAGGAAGAATCCAATCAGGCAGCCACGCAAAGAGCAAATTACGTAATCAATAACGTATCGCTAAATAACAGTCATTAGTCGCTTTTGAGGGTATTTTATTTTTTGTTGGTTGTTTTATTGCTTGATAGACGTTTGCCCAACTTTTTAAAATACATAAAAAAAATCATTTTCAAAAATTCAATTTTTATGAAATAATATGTGTTTTTAAAAAAATTAATATTATTAACTTTTTTTCACATGGTTTTCTGCAATGTCGAAAAACCGTAACGAAAAAACCGCCCGCAACCGCATCAAACAAACCGCAACCACCCACAAAACAGCGTGTCCACGCCACCTACACTAAATCAATTAAATTTCATAAATATTTATCAACATATAAATTATGAAGACCGAAGTTTAACTCGTTATTATACAGCAACTTTAGCATCGTGTTCATCAAAATTTGTGTTTTCAGCTAAAAATAGTAGTAAGTTAAATATCTTTAAATACATAAAAGGAAGATTTGATTTTCAAAAATTCAACCGGATTTAAAAACAAATCTGACCGGAGCAGGATTTGCACATTTGTTACATTTTGTAGAATTTAAGACTTTGGCTTCATTGGCTTGCAAACCTAGTTTTAAACCCAGCATTAAACTTTGTTATATTACATTCCGATCAATAAATAACTCAATAAATTAACTTAAATTTAATACAAATCGAATTTATACATTATATTTGCAATTTGTCTAAAATTGAAAAATAACATACACATTAAAACATTCGTATATAATGAAAACTTGTGCTATTATGATAGCACAAAACATGCTAACACATTTTGAAAAAACAAACGTCTTAATACTTGGTGTTAGTGTCTGGCAAGGTTGAAAGTTATTAGGATAATCAAGATAGTAACATCAATCAGATGGTCCAAGCGATACAATCGTAATTATTCACTCTTCATGTCGTTTTGCATAAATAAAATACGTTCATTGTTCAGTGATTAATAATATACACTTACATACATGTTCATGTGACAACACATGTTGAGTGTTTTTTGATTCGAAGCATGAATTGGCTTCTCACAAACAACATTTGTGGTATTTAAATCTGATTCTAAACTTGATCTTTACTAAAACTGAACCTCAAAACAACTGCGGTTTTAATGCGGTTTGAAACTTCATTTTAACTCCGAAGAGCAGTTTTCAAAGGCATGCATGTTCATTTTGTTGTATTTTTTTTATTAACTATTTTAATTTGGTGAAGAGTTTCTGGTTTGCTACGAACATTCATTCACGTTTTATGTTTGGCGGCAAAATATAAAATTTAAAGAAACATTCTTTATTTCAAAATGACGATTAAATATTTCAATAGTTGGAGTGTATAAAAATTAATATAACCATTAAATTTTGAGTGGTGCAATAATGAATAGAAGTATAGAAATACCTAGACATATTTTTTGCAAAATAGTTCTTATTATTAAAACAAAAAGTTATAATGAATTATGAACGGAAACATAAAAAATCTCAGTTTAATTTTTGACATCGCTTTCGATCCAGGTGTCGCTTTTTGCTGTCTGCCCGTGTGAACTTCAAGCCACAAACTTCACATTCAAACTGGCTTCCCTTGTGCGAGGCCTTGTGTCTGTAATAAGAACTTCGGTGGTTGTACACTTTGCCGCATGTACTGCAAGTATATATTTTGTTGGTGTACTGGCCTGATGCTGAACTCGAATATTCATTATTCCGACCTTCAACATTGGTTCCTTCTGTTCTGTTGAATTTTTCTTCTTCGTGTGGAACCACCTGAGCACCCTGCGGTTCGTAATCATATATCAGAGTTGCATCAGGATCATAAGATGAAGAAGCGATCGATATATTTGGATGTGCTGTGCGGGATGTGGAAGCAGCTGGTTCGATCTCATGACGGGAATCCACTGTTAGACAACCCCTAAGAACATGGTATTGCACTTTTTTGCTTTCGCTGGTTTTTTGCAATAATTTGTCTATTGTGAAAGACATTATCACTTATTAACCTTAAAAATAATTGTTATTCCGTTAAATTAAATATATAATTAATAATACTCTTAAACTCTCAGTCAATGAGGAAACGTCAGAAATATTTATTATTTATAGTTGGCTCGTTCTAATTTCTCTGAGCTCAAAGTTAACTACGTTAACAATTTTTTTGGAAAGTGTAAAATAACTTTATTACAATTCTTGTATTCTTCCCTACCAACTAAGCAACCGAATTCTCTTTGATCTTCTTTTTCTGAGTTCTCCAATTTCCATCAAACATCATATGTTATCGATCTTTAACCAAATTAGGTCAATTAATTAGAGAATGAAAAAAGTATTCCGTTAAGTATTCGCTTAAGTATTTCGAACTAAAATTGGTTAATAAACAGCTACCTGATTGTTATCGATGCCATCGTGACGTCTAATTATCTTTTTAAATTTGTGTTTATTGCTGTTAATTTTAGGAAGTTTAAACCCACTGCCAACAACCGTTGCGAAATTGTTGCAACATAATTTTACATCAACTCAATAGCTAATAAGAGACAGCACAGTTTATTGACATTAACCGTTTAGCAGATTAAACATCTGATAAAATATACGTTTAAAGAAAAATATATGCATGTCCTTTGTTTTTTAAACAGACAATATTCGAACCATGCCATTGCGTAATAGCTGCGGAGTTAAACATAGCAATCCTACTGACTGGTGTTAACTCGGCGATCATTTTTTTCAAATTTTTCTCTCATTATAGATTGAAAAATTTTTAAAAGAGTTTTCACAAATTATTTGAACATATTTAAATAAAACCTTTTATTTTAAATAAAATAAAATATTTAACCACAATTGAATTTTTCAATTGCTGGCTTTACAATCGTTTTCGCTTTTTTCACCCGGCAAAAAACATTTTTATATATTTTTATTCTCAAACAAATTTGTAAAATTAATAATAATTGTTAAATAGCCTCTGTAAAATTTCCTTATAAAAAAGACATTAATAAACTCATCATTATCATTATCTACTAATCACCATCAGCTGATCATCATTATCAACTAATCATCATATCAACAACTGACCATTATTTTCATCAATTGATTTGTTATCATCAACACCATCAGTTGATAGATTTATTTAATAAACCCAGTTTCAGTTTATTCCTAATTTTCAACCTTTAAACCTTTAAGCTTCCAATCTATCTCTCAAACAGATAATTGAACGGAGAGAAACATTTTAACACAAGACACAGTTAATTAGAGTAGGAACATGGCAGCAATTGAAGAAGCTGTATCGTCGCGGGGAGACTGTCGGTTGACTAATTTTTTCCAAGCCAGAGTTAACGTAAGATTTTTGCACGATGATAATTTAACAATGTTCGAACATATCAGTAATTAGCCATCCACAGAGTTTCACCTAGAGACCTCAGTGTTTTATCTGAGTACTTTCTTCAAGATATAGACATTTATTAACAATACAATTTTTGCACGCCCACCGCATCCTGGTAAGTCTTACAGTCACGTCCAACATCAACGTGTTTTCGTCCGTTTGGACAACTTTTTCTGGTTCGTATTCAGTGTATATTTAATTTTTTTTTTACATTTTACAGTGGATATGGGTTGCAACTTTGTTCTTCCAATTAGATATTCAGTTGGAGATTGCGCAGAAAAACAAGCTATATTTTTCTGACACATCCTAAATGAAACATCTACAACATCTTTTATAAATCCTCTCGTATTTAACGCTTGATCTTAGGCAGCATTTATTAAGTTGATGTTTTATTTTTTTTATCATCCTTTTTCAACCGTACTACAGATACCTTAACTAATTTTTTGTCAACACCTTTTTGATCTTGTCCTTTAAAAAAATAGTATTGTTTTTGATTTTTATAAGACCTTTTTTTCTTTAATATATTTGAACTTTATAACAATTTTTTCATTTGTCTGCGATGTTTAATTTAATTTCAAGTATTTGTTTGCTTTTGATTTGATAGAGAGAATTGATATAAAACAAATATAAAGAAAATAGGGTTAGGTAATTGGTTCGAATAGAGAAAATTTTTTCTGACAGTTTTTGCAGATAAAAGTTGAAAGAAAATAAGAACGGCATATAATTATAAATATTTACGTGGTTCTTTAACATTTATGTTTAAAAGCAGAAAGAAATGCCATTACAATGTCAAGAATAAATAGGATTGTTGTTGTATCGCAAATAGAGATACAAAACCAACTTAATAGTAATTAAAAGCGATTGAGAAATAGTTTAAAGAACTAAGAAAACTTATTGAACGTATTTCTAACATGAAAATCAAGATACAAAAATAATTTTTTGAAAAAAGAAACTCCAAAAAACAAATACCAATTTGCCAAAAAACAATTTGGAAATAAAAACTAAGACGTCAAACGCTTCAAAGTACATTTCACGGACGAAAAATTCATTGATGACAAGTGCTCAACATGCTTGCGGAAATTTTAGAGATTTTAGTTTTTAGCGTTTTCTTTTTTATATCACGTTTTTCTTTTATTTCAAGATATTTATACTTAAACTTCACTTTCTTTGAGGGTACAATATTTCTTTCAAATACTTTTATCCCCCTAGGAACAGCAAAGTTGTACACGTATCAGTACCAAATTCCATACTGATGTCATTACTAAACTGTTAAACAACATTTGCATTTTGTGTCATAGTTTCATATTCTGAAGTGAATAATTTTAGGCCATCCATATAAAATAAGTGAATTGTTTGTTAAATTATCAATGGCAGTAGGATTATACAAAACATAGCATCTTCTTGTAATATTCCTCTTGTTATTCTAATTATTCCTGAACTGATGCAAGATTCGTTTTGCCACAAAATTCGAATCATTTGTAGTGTTATTTTTTGCAATCAAATATGTAGCTCCAATTGTTATCAAATCTGGCACTTTAAATGGTGTTTTCATAACTTCATTGAATAAACGATTTAGATGTGGATGTAAATTTTGTTAAAATGAGTAAAAAAAATTGGAAGGCCACATTCCATAACTTCACCCAGCCACTCTTTTGAATCACGAAAATTCTCAAAACAAATTTACATTTCGCTGCAAGTTTCTAAGCTGTGGTTTTCATGTTTATTTTCGCAAATATTTTCATAAAAATTTCTTCTATTTTTCCGTATAATTATACATTCGAAAAATTTTATAAAAGTTGAAAGTTGAAGAAAGTTTTGTGTAAAAATCTAGATTTATTTTAACAAGAATTTATTTAATTTACAGTTTGCATTTATCAACAAAAAATTACATTTATTTATTTTTTAGGTGAATAATATCGGATATGGGAATTATACATACAAAATTGGAACAAAAAGGTAAATTTGGCTTTTTATAGAAGGAATAATAATAGAAGACTATTAAAATTTATATTAATTTAAAATAATATAACATATAAATCACTAAGAATGACAATTTTTTAAAAATTGGACATAGTTAGAAAAATGACACCAATTGCATATAATATTTCTTCCAATATACCAGGTCTCAATATAACAAGCCGACATGACATAATTCTGTCTCACATATCTATAAAAAATGGAAATTCAAAAATAGAAAAAAATAGAATAAGAAAGTATCATTTCAATTTTAGATATCGTTTTCCATCCAGGTGTCGCTTCTTGCTGTATGCCCGTGGGAACTTCCTGCCACAAAGTTCACATCCAAACTGGCTTTTCTTGCGCGAGGCCTTGTGTCTGTTATATGAGTTTCTGCGGTTGTATACGCTTTATCACAAGCGTATATATTGTTTGCGTACTGGCATGATGCCAAGCTCAAAATTTTATTATTTACACCTTCAACGTTAGTTCTCTTCGTTATGTTGTACTTTTCTTTCTTTGGAATCATCTGAAGTACATTGCGGTTTGTATTCATAGGTCAGAAATGGATCAGCATCATACGATAAGTTTGGATCCGCACTTTGCCACGCGTATATTTTGAGTGCGTACTGGCATGATGCTGAACTCGAATTTGTATACCAGAGTTGCATCAGCATCATATGATAAGGAAATGGTCGATATGTTTAGATCAGCTGTGCTGCACGTTGAGACAGCTGGTTCGATCTCATGACCGGAATCCACTCTAAGATAACCGCTCAGAACAGTATATTGCACAATTTTGGTTTTGCTTGCTTTTTGACATTATGGCAAAGCATACTCAATTGTTATTGTCATTTTTTAACTCAGTTGTATTATTTAAATTTCGATAGCCTAACAAAAATTATTTAATTATTTTTAGCAATATTGAAATTTTTTATTGATGGAACTATCACTAAAATAATATTAAACATAACATGAATTTCAAGTAAAAAATTATAACAATTCTTCTAGTTAACAAAATTACATATAAATTTGTTTATTAAACCAGTTCATGAACTATTCAACAATTAATTTTAATAAAAAATATAAAAAAGGAGTTCCTTGAAATTTAATGTTGAGTCAATATACACCCAACAACTTGAAATTATCTACTTTTTCTGCTGATACCATGATTTGTGTTTTGGAATTAGGAACCGGGGAAAAAAGTCTGAACCTTATATGACAAATTTACTGCTTCAACCTTTTTAAAAGTAACTCTCTCTTTTGCGCTTGCTTCAGAGGTTTCAACGACAAACACACAGCGTATATGAATACCCGTGAAAACCACGCATCATACACATTGCATGTGATAGGCGAGGATCT